TGCAACGGGGGGAACGTAACACTAGCTCTTTCCATAATCAGGCAGTCATCCGCAGGCGTAGAAACAAGATTGACAGCCTCAAAGGGGCCGATGGGACGTGGATCACTGATCCTCAGGAGTTGGCAATGCTGATTTTTGACTTCTTTGCTACCTTGTACCTGCAGGAGAATGAGAATTACGAGGACCTTATGCCAAAGATGGCTTTCCCCTGTCTTGATCAGGAGGAGATGGTGGCTCTACTGAGACCTTTCCGAGCTGAAGACATACACCGAGCAATTCACGAGATGAAGCCGTTTCAAGCCCCTGGCCCTGACGCTTTCCATGCTCCTTTCTACCAACGGGCATGGAGGGTGGTGGGGAAATCTTTAATTAACTTAGCTTTGGATTTCTTTCATGCAGGGGGACTACCGGAGAACATAACCGACTCAACGGTTATCCTCATTCCGAAAGTAGAGCACCCTGAGATGGCCTCTCAGCTCAGACACATCTCCCTCAACAATGTCTGCTTGAAAGCAATCACAAAGGCGATTACCAACCGGCTGAAACCCATAATGAGGAAATTGGTTTCCCCCCGACAGAGCAGTTTCATTCCTGGCGGCAGACTACAGATAACATCATTGTTCTCCAGGAGGTCCTCCATACTCTGAAGAAGAAAAAGGGGAAGAAGGGAGGGATGGTCTTGAAGATGGACCTGGATAAAGCTTACGACCGTCTACGGTGGGACTTTCTATGCGACACCCTCAAAGAAATTGGCCTCCCTAGCTCGTGGATCAGCTGCATTATGTACTGTGTGGAAAATAACAGGATGCGTCTGCTTTGGAACGACGACCTCTCTCAACCCATTATTCCTACCAGAGGAGTTCGTTAGGGAGATCCCTTATCCCCTTATCTTTTTGTGCTCTGTATGGAACGATTATCTCACAGGATCGATCAGGCTATTCGGGACAACCTTTGGAAGCCTCTTAAGCTGTCCAAAGATGGCTCGGCCATTTCTCACCTCTTTTTTGCAGATGACCTGGTTTTGTTTGCAGAAGCAGGGGGAACCCAAGTGAGAATAATTAAGCAATTGTCTGGATGAGTTCTGCAGCAGCTCGGGACAGCGGGTGAACTATCATAAATCCGCTATCTTCGTGTCTGTAAACATTCACAGAAGGCGTGCTAGGGCCCTAAGTGAGCGCATGGGGATCCCGCTCGGACCTAGGCAGATATTTGGGAGTCATGGCCATCCATGGCAGAGTGACACGAGGCAGATACCAGGATCTCGTCCTCAAGATTCAGAAGAAACTCGCCCCTTGGAAAGCTAGGCATCTCTCCCTTGCTTCTCGCATTACCCTTGTTAAGTCAATTGCTGCGTCTATTCCCGTTTATCCTATGCAGGTGGAGCTCATGCCAAAAACTGTCTGCAAGGACCTGGATAGAGTCAATCGCAGCTTCCTTTGGGGCGATTCAGAAGAGAAAAGGAAATTACGTTTGGTGGGCTGGCAACTTCTGACCCTGCCGAAGGAACAAGGAGGACTGGGTATCCGGCCCTCAAGATCGGTCAATCTTGCAATGTTAGCCAAGTGCGGATGGCGACTGATTAAGGATAAAGAGACCCTTTGGGCCCAATTGATGCGCTCCAAGTATGGGAAGAACAGGGAGAAACTCGACATCATCAAACCCATAAAGGAAAGTTCCTTCACCTGGAACATCATCTCTAAAACCAAAGAGTTGCTGAAAGATGGTTGTGCCCGGAACATTCATAGAGGCAACCTAACCCGTTTTTGGTTTGATATTTGGATTTCACAGGTTCCTTTGATCGAGTTGGCCACTGGCCCAGTTTCGGATGATGAAAAGGACGGCATGGTGGCAGATTTTGTGGATGAAGATGGAACATGGCTTACTGAGAAGTTCGAGGGAATTCTACCGGACACCGTGACTCATCAAATCACAGCCCAGGTAGTGGACCCTCTAGCAGGGGGGATGATGTGCTTTTCTGGCAGCCCACTTCAGATGGCTGCTTCTCAACAAAAAGTGCATTTCAGCTCATACAGCCTAGAGCCCCTAGCGAGACAGCTCAGATGGTGAAAGATATATGGAAGCTACTAGTGCCGGAGAGGGTGCGTTGCTTCATGTGGGTTGTGGCACACGACAAAATCAGCAGTAATGTGCAACTTGTGAAGAGAAAGATTGCTTCCTCACCCTGCTGCTACAGATGCGCTTCTCAAGAAGAGACCACACTCCATATTCTCAGGGACTGCCCTACAGCCGCCTTCCTCTGGGCTCGCACAGTTCCTTCTAAGAATCAGCAGGAGTTCTTCAGCCTTCAACTTAATCCTTGGCTTGCCAAAAATTTGCAGGTGGAGTCCAGGAGAAATATCGAGACCCCCTGGAATGCATTCTTCAGTATAGCCATTTGGAATCTTTGGAAAAACAGAAACGAAGGGGTGTTCAAGGGCATTGAGAAGACCCTCTCCCCGCCTTCTCTGACTCAAGCCACCAAGATCAAAGCTATGATATGGCACAAAGCTTGGGTGGCTCCTCAGAGCATCCTTGGTCGGCGATCTACTGCAGCCCAGTGAGTGTCCCGCGAAATCAGTTGGATTCCTCCTCCTGCCGGTCGGGTCAAGGTTAATGTTGACGGCGCCGCAAACGGAACTCAGGGTCCGGCAGGTGTGGGAGGGGTCTTGCGGAATCACCATGGGACTTGGATCAAAGGCTTTGTTGCTAAACTGGGAACTTGTTCGGCCATTCAAGTGGAGCTTTGGGGAATCTACCACAGATTGGATATGGCGTGGGACGAGGGCAGCAGGGCTGTCATCTTGGAATCCGACTCACAGATGGCTATACAACTCATAGAGAAGCGAACCGACCTGGTGCACCCTCACGCGACCCTTTTGACAGCGATAAGACGCAAGGTTGCTCGTGATTGAGTGGTGAGGCTAGTCCATACTTACCGTGAAGGGAATAGAGTCGCGGACTGGCACTCGAAGCACAGTCTCGTCTATCCCTATGGTAAGAATGAACTTGACTTACCACCGCAGACAGCGGCGGATCCAGGATATAGAAGTGCACTGGGCCGGATTCGAATATGAAATTCTATGTTAATGTCTTAATGCATTATTGCACTGTACAAACTTAGTTTCTAACTAAATGAGAGTAAGTAAATAAGACCAATTAGCTTACCTGTTGCTGTTGTTGTCTACTGTGAAGGAAATAACTAGTGAATTCACTTTCTCCGAACTAATAGCCCACACGAGATCGCCCTGCCAAAGGGACAAAAACAATCAAGAATCCCTCTTTGAGTCAATTTCACAAATGGCTTGCCTGCACAAAATGGAAGAAGAATCACTTACAGGGGCAGCGGCCACCTTCTCGGCGGCAGGTACGGCGCCGGATTTTCTCCTGGGAGTGGAGACGAGTGGCAGAGCAATGTGCGGGTAAAGGAGGGGTCAGGGGAGCAGCCGAGCAGCAGCAGGTTTGTTGCAGGACTGTTGGTATTCTTCTTTTAATTATTTTTGTGTCCCAAACTTGGAGGGAAAGCTAAAGAGGGCTGGTCCGGCTGGAGATTATATGGGAATTGGGAGGGTTTGTTGGGCTTGGGGCTAGGCCCAAATTTAATTATGCAGCTTAGCACTATGGGTTGGGTCTTCGGGAGGCAGGGGGCTGGGCCCGAGCCCAGTGTGGCCCCCCCTGTATCCGCCGATGACCGCAGGGGCTACATCATATCTTGGGCGACGATGGTTGAGGGCAATCCTTCCTCAGAGAGGTTGTGGATTCCACTGAAACCTCCCATGTCTTGTAATCTTCCCCCCTTCCCCCTTGTTGTCTCTGCTTCTGTGGCTGTTTAGCCTCCCATGATGCAAAAAAAAAAAAAAGGTTTTTTGAATTAATTGATGGTACTATATTAGAAAAGAGAAAAGACACGGTTATATCAACACTTGTTGCCACTTGCCACAATTAACTATAAAGTAAAAAAAAAATAATTAACTCAAACCATTAAACACTATATACCGGAGCTTTAGCATTTGCCATGTTAGCAGTATTTCCATCCACAAAAACAAAAGTGAAACAAAAGAACGAAGAAGTCAAACTACATAAGTTTTTTTGTTATAGGTATAATATGCTCCTCTATTATGTCGTTTTATCAAACATGCCCTTCTATTATTTTTTACATCAAACATGCTCCTGTACTTTGGAAAAATTATCAAGCATACCCTTTTGTTAAAATTTTCATCCAAAAAACCATTAACCACGGTCGAACTTTGGTTTGGGAGACACAAATGTAAAAAATATCCTTAATAATTCCACTTCAGAATTTTTTGGGTTCTTTTTATAGCCAAATAATTCTAATAATTTCACTTCAACGAGACCCAGAAAAATAAAACAGGGGATAAAAAGTGATATTTCACCTCCCATTTGCCGATGTCGGGTTCTGTAGATCTTGGTTCAACCATGATTGATGATTTTTTCAATGGAAATTTTAACACAAGGGCATGTTTGATAATTTTTCCAAAGTATAGGGGCATGTTTGATGTAAAAAATAGTAGAGGGGCATGTTTGATAAAACGACATAGTAGAGGGGCATTTTATACCTATATTATAGATATTTTATTTTTCAACGTCGAAATCGATATACATCGAGAAACAAACTAATATAATTATTCATGAACGAACTGTCTATCAAAGAACAAGAATAAATAATTCGTATTTTCAATTGATTACAGGTACATTACATAATGAGAAAAGCTGAATAACAGATATAGATATTTTACCGGTACGTACATCTGCGTAGATACAATTCATAAATGTAATAAACCAATTTTCTAACCCATTAAAAAATCAACAAATAGCCGTATTTGTCTATTTACCCAAAAAAAATAAAGCAGAGCCAAATTCGGCCATAAAAAAGTATAGAAACTATAAATAAATAAAAAAAGTTGTAAGCCCGTAAGTGACCACCAATGGGCCGGGCGGCCTGTATTCTTTCCAGGACCCGTAAATTCGACGATGAGATAACGTCATTGCTGCCGCCGCCGGTCAGCCAACCCGAAGGGAATCACGACAACTGGATAGGAAGAAGAAACTGTAGAATGGTGGTGATGTTGATGGTGGAGAGCTCTGTTATTATTACGATGGACACTGCCGGCGAAGTTCATCTGGTTGACCAAGGACGGGCAACCCGGCCCATTGGATCCGGGTACGTGGGTACACCCGGAAGAACCCGACGGAGGGACCGGTCCCCTCTGGAGCGACGACTTCAGCTCCTTCAGCATGCCGTCGACTTCCCTGTCCATCAACGGCCGGCCGCTGGCTTGGTACGGCCCCACCTGCAGAAACAGCACCAGAAGTACTCCGGCCAGGACCGCCGCCGCCGCCCGATCAATAACGACGACCCTCATGATGATTAATCACGGTATGTATGTATCTTGATTTCTGATTTCGGGGTGCTGAAACTATAAGGGTCTGTTTGGGAGAATTACTTGGAATGTATGGAGGGAATTGTTTTGGAGGGAGGGAGGCAATGGGATAATTATGTGGTTTTATACTGTGAGGGTGTTCGTTTTTGGGAGGGATTTCTGACCGTTGACTGGAAATATAATACAGTCAAATATATTGAACGAGTCCGGCATGTACAAATGTTACGTATATAGTGGGTAATTAAGCCAATGGTTTAATAATAATAATAATAATAATAATAATCAAAATTGATTAATTAAGGAAGTGAGATTTGAGGAGCTTGAGTCCCAAGTATCAATCTCAGCTACTGTCGTGGTAATACCGCCGACGTGATAGTGTAGCTGCAGGAAGTTTCCCGGATATATGGATGTAAGCTGCCTCCTGACCGGCCGGGGGAGAAGCTAGCTCAACGTGGCATTTCTTTCTAGTGTCAGTGATGACATACATATATAACAGGTAGAGAGGAATGGAAATATTATTTATTGGGGGGGATTGAGTGGGTAGGGAGACTAATTAAGTAATTTGATGCCTGAATTATATTTAATTAACCACTACTGGTTCATCGTCACCATATTAGAGGTGTCGATAGGAAGGGTCAAGTCAAGTTTAACTAGGTTGCGGGTAAACTGGAGTACGACGAGTTAATGAGTTGCAGGTTTGTTGGATTACGAGTTTATTGGATTATATCAAGGTTGTTAACCCGCGGGTCGAACCGGATTAACCCGGATCCGGCCAAAAAAACGGGCCATACTAACCCATTTTACTATCAGCCCGGAAATGGTCAAACCCGGGTTGGCCCGGCCGGTTAGCCCGTTGGAACGGGTCAGCGGGCTGATCTTCCTGAGCCCCGTTTGGCCGTTACGGCGCCGTTTTGGCTTGGACGGTCCACTTCTTCTTCTCCCTGCAGCGAAACCCTAGACTCTAGAGACTCCATTAGCCGCCCATTTCGATTTCCATCAGGCTGAAGCGCAGCCGTGTCCTGCTCTCGCCATCTCCAGGGTTCTTTGGCGGCGTGGTCGCGGTCGCCGGCGGAAGATCAGGTCGGCCTTCACGGCTCCGTCTCTCCTCCCTTCAGCTCCGCCTCTGCTCGGCCCTGCTCGCGCCTCTGCTCGGCCTCCTCTGCCTGGCCACCTCTGCTCGTGAGTCGCACCTCTGCTCGGCCTCCTCTGCCTGGCCGCCTCCGCTCGCTAGAAGTGCTCGGCCTCCTCTGCCCACCCGCCTCTGCCCGACCGCCTCTTCAGTCTTCACTCTTCACAAACTCAATATCCATTTGGTAAGGGTTTGATCTCTGAGACTTGATACAATTTTGTAAATGGAAACGAATGAATGGTTGATACAATTTTGTAAATGGAAACGAATTTTGTGAATGGTTTCATTTGGTAAGGGTTTGACCTTTGAGACTTGACTCCAATAAATGGTTTCTTTCTTTCGTATAGCTATGGTTTGATACAATTTTGTGATATTCAGGTTTTTGGATTCAGGATAAATAGAATACATTGGCTCTTTTCAGATTTCCGGGCTAAGCCGGGCTAAACCGGGCTAAAACGGGTGACCCATTGACCCATGACCCACTAGCTCGTCCGGGTTCGGGTCGACCCGCGGTTTGACAACCTCATTATATATATGAGTGAATGACTGATTATTATTTTGGGTGTAGGAAAACATTTTGTCACTTAAAATTTGGTAAACTCCACAAATTCTCGTATCACTTTTATCCGTCACTTTCTTACTACTCAAACTTAAATGAAAAAAAAAAAGAATTTTTTTATAATCGTCAGTAGTCCGAACATGCAACAGCCAACATGCAAGCCCAATCTATAATCATCCAAAAGTATTTAAACAATGGGGTAAACTCTGCTTCATGTTATTAAACACAACAAAATTATGACTCGTATCATCAAATAGGTTTAACATCTAACCTCTTATAGGGGGCCGGATCCCATAACTAAGGGGTTGTCCGGTCTATAAATCTGAACACACCAATTTGACGGTTAAAAAGTAGGAAAGAGTTTTTAATTGATGACAGAGATAGTTTGGGTATTATGACAGTTATTAATTATACGAACCGGACTTACAAACAGTACAAACCATACAAACAATAGAAACTAGAGCGATAACACATACAAACAGATTTACAAACAATACAAAATATGCGAACTATACAAATAATACAAACTAGACCGACAAACATTACAAAGGCTCAGTTTGGCCCTGCTGTAGCTTTTGCAGAAGCAGTTTCTGGCTTGAGCTTTTAGAGAAGTACTTTAAAAAAAACACAGTTGAGTGTTCGGCCGAAAAACTATTAAAAGTGCTTTTTAATATGAGAGGTTGTGTAAAATGACTATAAATGATTTATAATATAAACTATGAATAATAATTCTATGAATAATAATTCTAAACAATTAAATGTAGTCAAAATGGGATCTTGTTAGACTTCTTTTATATTCCCTATGTTTGGCCCGGCTTTTAAAAGTCCTTTTCGGGTTCAAAAGCTGAAGCAGGGCCAAACACATCTAAAAGCTCGGCTTTTGAAAAGCCGAAAAACGCTTGTGTATAACATAAAAGCAAAAGCTCCGATTTGGAGCTTCTGCGAAAAGCTGTTTTGAAAATACAAGATTATCCTAACCATATTTTAATTTTATTTCAGAAAATATAATTTTCTTTCATTTATATCATTTTAAAAATAAAATAAATTTTAAAATCATATTATTTAATATAAAAGAAGTCTAATAAGATCCATTTTGACTACATTTTATTATTTAAAATTATTATTCATAGCTTATATTATAAGACCTTTATAGTCATTTTACGCAACCTCTAATATTTAAAAGCACTTATAATAGTTTTTCAGCCAAACACTTAACTGCTTTTTTTGAAAAGTACTTCTCTAACAGCTCAAGTCAGAAGCTGCTTCTGCATAAGCTACAGCAGGGCCAAACTGAGCCAATTAAATAATATATTTTTATTTTTTAAAATAATATAAATGAAATAAAATTATAATTTCTGAAATAAAATTAAAATATGGTAAGGATAATCTTGTATTTTCAAAACAGCTTTTCGCAGAAGCTCCAAATCGGAGCTTCTGCTTTTATGTTATACAAAAGCGCTTTTCGGCTTTCCAAAAGTCAAGCTTTTAGAGGTGTTTGGCCCTACTTCAGCTTTTGAAGCCGAAAAGCACTTCTATAAGCCGGTCCAAAACATAGGCAAAACATACTAACAGTACAAAATGTCACTACTTACAATACAAAACAGTAAACTTGTATTACAAATCAATGAATACAAAATATACAAATCACAACATAAAGTATACAAACTAGACAAACAAACATTACAAATTACAATGTATACATATTAGTCATATAAACATTACGAACGTAATAGATAAAAATGACAAAATAAAATGATAAACGATACAAACCGAATTGATACAAAATCACAAAACATACTTACAAACATTACAAAATCGTCTAACAAACATAACAAAACAGACGTTGTCGGACAAAATCCTCTCCGCCGCCGCCGAAAAATTCACCGATGACGAAAAATACTCTCCCTCTCTCTGTCCAAAAATTCCCCAGAAATGGACGGCGGCAGGAGGGCGGGATGACACGTACTGTATTTTTTTACTTTAATTATTAAATAAATTATGTAACTACAACACCTGATAAATCTGAATCATTAGATTTCTAATGATGTTCAATGGCTGAGATTGCCTTAGTCATGTGACTAAGGGACCCCTCTTAGGCATCTGATCTTAGCCCCTCCTATAGCGATCTTTCTCCTTTACCGGTTGGACCTCCGACCCAATATTGATAATGTTGATCCCAACTTCTACAAAAATTACATCACAAAAAATGTTGTGAATAAATTATGCGTGCTATTTTATGTCAATAATAGAAAATTACCAATATCAAAATTTTAATTTTGTTTAAATTTCACTTTATCATATATTCGATAATCATTGATAAATGTTTGAAGAGAATCGTAAATAAAAAAGTGAAGTACGAACAACAAACCAGTACCAATACAAAAAATAAAACCAAAACCCTCCAACAAAACAACGAGTATAAACTAGTATCAGTACAAATTCAACCAATATAAAAATAGTACAATTAAAAGAATCAACCGGTATCAGCATAAATAAAAACTCATAACAATTCACCAGCCCCAAATTTTGAAGTGGAAAACGGCTCCGCCACAAGCTTTTTCTGAAGAGAGACAAAGAGCGAGTATGTGCACTTGTACAGCGACAACGATAGATAGAACGACGTCAGAGCTACAGAGGAAGAGAAGAACTCACCGATTTTGCATCATCACTGAAGAGAGATGGAATTCGTCAAAAAAAAAAAAAAAACTGAAGAGAGAAGGAACCAGAAAAATTGAATCAGAGAAAGGGAGTGAGGGAGAAAGAGGCCCGCAATGGGTATACTGCGCCTGCTGTATTGAAATGAAAGCCTCGTCATAGCAACACTAAAACAAAGCTTGGTAAGGGTTGGAGGCATATAAATAAAGCACAAAGCAAGAAAAGAAGACTCTTTACAGAACGTATTCCTTATGAAAAAAGAAGAATACAACCTCAACCATCCATCCATCCATCACTGATCACTCCAATCTAAGGACCCTCTCACATTATTACAAGCAGATAATCACCAACCCCAGACTCTTAAATCTGGCTGGTACTTCCGCTTCTCCACACCATTTCCCTCATCTCAGTGTCCATTCGACGGCCGATACACTGTATACCCATTCACCCCACTGGCCAGATTCGAGTAGTCGGGGCTGAAGTAGGCCGACGAGCCATCACCCTCCGAATTTCTCGTCCCACCTAGCGAAAGATCAGTACTCGACATATGCCACAGGTTAGAGACCAAGCCATCCATCATCTGCCCATTACTGTAAGGCAACAGACTATTACCCTGTGGGATGTAGTCCCTTATGGAGTCATACGGCCCCCCTCCGAAAGAACTGTACCCTCTCTGGAACACCCCGTCCTGGTAACTCCTTGCCCTCTCAAATCTGCATGAACTGCTGCTGGGTGAGGAACATAGATCACCACCGCCGGATGCTCCCAGATCACTGGGGAAAGATGACTGTCTACTCAAGTAGTGAGGTCCGTTGTTGCCGAAAGGGTGGAATCCTTCAGCAGTCCTCCCAATAACATGCTCGTCGTCTAGCAAGTCGTTGATGATATCTAGATGCGGGAACTCATCTGTCGAAACACCAACTTGATGCTGACGACCAGATGTGGAGGCCGGCAACTCTGCAGGGAACTGATCCCCTCGGGATCCCCCGCTGTTGCCGTGAGCATGGTTGTACAAGTCGAGGTTCTGAATTCCATTAAGCAAGGATGACGAAGGAGAAGAGTCATAGTGCATACCTCTGCTTGAATCCCTCTGATAAGAACTCTCAATCCATTGATGTCCGTTATGCAACACGTCCCTTGACGCCATCATTGCAAATGGAGGGTAACCAGATTGCACTGAGTTCTGTTGTGGGGGTGCTGTTGACAAATTCCTAGCAGAACTTGGTGAGCTGGGATGACTGTAACTGGTTGAAGTTGCGACAACAGAGTTTCCAACAATGGCATTCCGGTAGGACTGAGGGATATAGCTTTGTGAGGTCAAGGTAGGGTCCGGACCCAAACGTCCGGTTGCACTCACTGACCGAGAAATTGATGGACTTGTTTGAACCTTTGAGGATACTACAGGAGTAGCCGGTCTAGGTCCAGGAACCAGAGGAGCACTTGAGGGCCTTGAAACAACAGGGACTTGCTGTTGTTGTGTTGGCTTATCGGACAACTTTGGAGCTGAGGAAGCATTGTGGGGTTCAGGTCTGAGCAATGGACTTGGATTTTGGCTGTGGGCACCGGCTGGTCCTTTCTCAGCTGCCGGTTGTGATGAAGGTGTAGATATGTTGTTCTTGACTTGTGCAGAAGTATCTACCGTAGGTGATATTTTCTTTTCTGGTTTAGCTGGAATGGCAGGAACAGGACTTTTAGAACGGGTAGCTGGTGAAGGTTGTATTGATGTTGTCTTCTCTTTAGAGTGCTTTTCCAACTCAACAACTTTCATGGTGCTTGGTTTCTTGGATGGTGATGCAACTTTCTCCTCCTAACAAGCAGAAAAATAACATACTCACTAAAATGAAGAGTCCGAACAAACAAACCACAGATTGTTCTTAAACCCTAATCCTCTTTCAAGCAACTAATATACCGAATAAGCAGAGACAGTCTTTAAGGGTTTCAGGCCCTCGCAATTTCTAAAGAACATGAACAGAAAACAAAGGCGTGACAAAATAGAATAATGTATTTATCTGCCTGTACTAAAAAGTATTTGACTTTTCTTTGAAAATTAATTAGAAGCGAAGAAAAGCATGTTTTTGGGGTCAAGAAAAAAGTTAAGTTTATGGTATGTGAGATAATTTTCAATTATAAACAAGGTAATGCCATTGTAAATTGTTTGTTCAATGAAAAACAAATTAGTGGGTTCCCATATTTTATATTATGAGTAAGAATACATGCCTATCTCAAAAGGGCATAGTTAAATATTATTGGTCAGCTAACTTTTAGAAATTCTACAAAGTTAGATTGAAGTAGCGTGTTTGTTTTCCCTTTAGGGTCAACTTATTTCTTAAGTAAGTTATTCTTTTAGCCAACTCAGACACCCCAAGTAGACGATAACCACCGATGTACCTTTTTAACGACATGCTGCTCAGCTCTAGTTGTTGTATCATGCAAAGTACGGGCAGCCGCCTGAGACACACATTCATTAGACTTGCCACTTCCAGTTCCAGCATTAAGATCTTCCGAGTCTATTGCAGAACCAGAGGGCTGACTATCTGCTTCAGAACCCCAACTCCCATCACATGTCATCTTACCTCGGTGGTTTTTCCCCCTACAAGGCACAAAGTTACATACTTTACATTAACCAACATGGAACATAACCTCGTTAGGAAAACTTTCTAAGGATAGAATCCGCTTGTACCTGCTAGGTGACTTTTCACACTGGTAGCTTGAAAATGAGCTTCCTTTGTAGGGTCCATTTGTAACTACAGAGGGCACCGAATCAGTTGAGCATGTTGATGAACTGTCATCCATCGCAGATACACCTCTTTTCTCAGCAGCTCCATTTGCAACTGATGATAACCCACTAGCCGCACTGCTGCTGGCTTCAGTGGGCGGATGAAGTTCTGAGGTATCAGTATCCCAATTTACAGGACTAACGTCTCTGTCTTCTGAATCAAGCTGGAGCGGTTCACCAGCACCATCGACTGAATCAGAAACATCAGAGGCATCTTCTGGCACATCAGGCTTCTCGTCCATAGGTTGCGCCTCATCCTCAAGGGAAACACTGTTAGCATTCTCTTCCAGGTGGTTGTCTAATGCTGCTGCGGCTTCCTTCCCTTTTTCCTTCCCCTTACGATTATTGCGTTTCTGTTTAGCCTAACATTCAAAAAAATATCAATAGTTAAAAGAAAATGGACAACTGTTGCTTAAAAAGGAACTCTACAGTTCATCCTGAAGAGATTATGCAATCACAAACAGGAAGGGTACTCATTCAACCAAAAAGAGGGTAAAGATCTGAAATACATAACGTCCATTAAGGTTGACGTTGTACGAAAACACTACATGAATGAAATTTCTAGCAGAAACTAATCCATGCAGCATGCCTGTCAGTCTTGTTCAACTGAAAAGGAGCATAGAGCATGCATAATTTCAATGCTCACTACAAAAATAAAATAAGAGTAGCATACTTGTTTTTTCTTAGATTTCTTTTCCTTTTCAGTTGCACCACGCTTAGCCTTTTGTTCGCTCACAGCCATCCATGCTTCCTCTTCTTCACGAATCAACTCTTCTTGCCTCTTCAAAGCAACAGCTTCCTGGTAGGCAACTTCAATCTTATGGCTACATATAAAGGGGAATACTTTAGCTCAGAAAGAAACTTCACACAGAGCATGTCTTCCCTTATGTACAAGTTTATTGGTAGAAAATCAAAAGGCTCGGAGATTAGGCATCGTAAAATGTCTCGAGACAACTTTTGAATTGATAACATACTTGAAGATGTGAGCAAGAACAAATATTTCCACAGTCCTACGGCCCAATTCTGTAAGGCGCCTTTCATCACGCTCAATAGAATCCTTGTTAAAGTCATCCCCTGAATTCCCATCCTGCAAAGACATCTACAAGTGTTTAACAGACAGCACAGGTATTCCAATCGCTACATGTTAATCATGATTGTATTACAGCAAGAATGTTAAGTTTACTCGTTACAGTTAGTGGAGTCAGGAATGGCAGTAAAGGCTGCATCCTTGTAATCTTACTGATTCTCAGTCCTCATCACGATATCACTATCAAACTTCAGACTGGAAGAACATTACAACTGGAGTAACTAACTTACTCTCATCTTGCTCTCTTACAAAAATCACAAATCAGACTGAAACTACAACATCCATGAATGCAAGTTTTAAACAAGTACGGCAAGAATCCAACTGTTGTAAACATGTGTTCGCACACAACCTTGTCGTCCAATTATTAATCACATGACTTTCTCTTAGTGCTTTAGGTTCAAGCATCCCCATTGCAATGGACAAAAAAATCATTGACTGACCTTTGTGCGATTCTGAGGGCCCTTCTCATCCTTTGGAGGTAAGGGTTCCACAGCAGCCCTCTCAAGTAATAGCAGCACATCATCCACTAAAACAAATGTATCTTTTTCAACACGTACAATAGGAGCTGGGATTTCTTCAGTGTCCAATAACTTCCCTCTTCCTTTCTTGTTCTTAGTTTGCCCTTCAAGAGCCTTTAACCCACTATACAAGGAATCCATCACCAAAGTTGATGTAACTTCCTTCTCTATGAAGAAATGCTTTACAACTACTTTAAGAATAACATCCATCTTCTCCCTAGACATACGGCGCCGAGAAGTTTGATCCATCCCCAACCAGAAAGCACAAAAGCTGCAAGGTTAAAATTTACTGTTATGATCAACTGGAGCCTGAAATTGACACTAGGCAGAGCAATCTATACAGGAAACAAATGAAGACATGAGAACAGCAACACATGACCATCAACTTAGCAACATCAAATCATTCTTGAGCATGGTTCATTTTTGAAAAGCAAGTACCCGGACTCTGTCAACTTTATATCCATAGCTATAACCGAACTGCGGCCACATAACCATAGCTGCAATGTTCAAAGTATAGCCACGCAATAACCATACTCCCAGAAATAGGACGCCACATGGTCAGTGAAACAAATAGTTTTCACTGTGCAAGAAAAAAATTAATACTACAAACAATGAAGGGTAATACCTTGACCACCTATTTTTGTCCTCCAATAATCTACCAAGCTTCCCCCGTCTCTCTTCTACAAAGCGCCGACAGATCTGCTCTACATTTGTCAGATATACTCTCACAAGCTCTCTCCTATATTGACAGTCTAGGCAACGAAAAGGCCGGTCTGTTTTCTCCCTACAGAAATCAAAATTAGAACATTTGATGAAAAAACTGCAGACATAATCATCATAAACCTGTGCAGAAATTTAACCAAACATGACAAAATAAGAACTGTTCAGAAAACTGAAACTCAAGAATTAGAATGGTATACACCATGACATCCTTTCAGTGGTAGCTATTTAAATTCTGATCGCAAGACCTGATATTATCATTAACAGTATGATACAAATAACCAATCCCTTCTAAAGCTGGACATTCCTAGATTCATGCCCATTCTCTATTCGGTATACAAGACCATGCATATGAGCCAGCCAATATATAATTACAGCAGGCATTCGTCATATAAGAGGATACTTAAATATGATATCAGTTAACAATGCTAGATATGCCATCTTCAGTTGTCGATAAATCCAAAGAGAATACACATCGACTCTTGTGCTTTCACAGTTACTTTCTTTTAGCATAGAACGAATAATTTGATGGCAAGCAAGAAACATCACATGCCAAACCACATCAGGATGGAAATCAGGAGCGCAATACACAGCTCTCAAAACGAAAGAAAAGATAAGGAACAAAGATCCAAAAAAATATGAACTATATCAGACACCTGATGACTTGGACTTGAGCCTTTATAATGAGAGTGTCAGCAGCATCTAAGAACCCATCCGACACTTTTGACAGCTCCATAAATTTTTTCCAGCCCCAATCATGCTCTTTCTTCCAAAAACGATGCAACGTATCTACAATAGTTAATTCAATTAATAACATATTTGGGGAACAAGTTTATTCTGCAACCAAGCCAATACTAGACCAACCGACCAGAGTATTTTGATTTCTTTGGATCTTTATTCACCACAGCTATAGTAAACTGGGCAAAATGGCTCCAACCTGGTTCAAATAAGAAAAGAAAATGTTGAAAAGACTAAGCACAAACAGAAAAGAACCAGAAACATCATCAAAGCTGCTTCAAGTTGTAAGTACGACGTACCTGGAAGAAGTTTGTCATGGTTGGCAACACAGAGAAACAAAGAGAGATGATTACACACATCACAGCCTTGGGGATATATCAAAATGTACCTGTTGCTCAAAGAAAAGAGTCTTGAGTAAAAGTTATGTAAATTTCAGAACTAGCCAATGAGTGATTAAATAGCATATTGCATAATGAAAGTGAAGATGAATGGAGGTATCTCGCAAAAAAACACAGAAAGACTGCCATGAAAAGTTCAAATGATAATCCTAAGGATATTGGATAAATTTAATTATTTATATTTTGAGCAGATCTAAAAGGTCCAAAGCAATCACATACGCAAAAGGAGCTGTGCATTTTAAATCCCGAAGGGAAGACACATCATAACAAACAACCCAAGGGAAAGGAGAAATTATGCAAGATCAAAGACAAGTATAAGGTATTGCAAGAGAAAAGTGCAGAGCTTTATACCATTTGTAGCCGCCAACCTCAAATACGTTACTACGGAGTTCTCTCTTGTTGATCTGTGAAAATTTCTCAATCTTCCATGTATATTTTCCATATAACTGTGAAGGTTTCAGCCCTGTGCACAAGTAAAATAGGTGTCAAATATTTGAACCTGAATATAAGAAATGGAATAATAAGAGAAAAACCAATATCAACAGCCCATTGGGAACCATATCAACAGCCATTTGGCATCCGCGCAACACTCATTTGGTCACCAATACAAAGAATAGCATTTTTTTCAGGCCAGAAGAGAGATAGACTGGTGACACACAAATTTGAAACAAAGAACTATGCCGTACCACCGTCGTCATCATCATCAGTGTCCCAATAAGGGGGTGAAGTTGATGGGGTTCCATTTTCCACCTGCCCGGAAGACCGCCATTCAGCCAAGGCTTCCCCTGATTGACAGCGCTGCCCACTAGAAATCCCGTCAGCAGTTCTTCCACCTCCGGAGTCACCACTTGCAGTCCCAGCCATGTCCCACTTCCTCCCCGGAAGCCTTCAACACCACTCACTGCATAACCATGCATGAAGCAATGTGAAAACAGTTTTAACTTTGAATTTCTATTACACTAGTTTCGGCAGTACAGCATTATGAACCCTTCTCTACTCATCCTATCAGTTTTATAGTGATGCAAAACCCAGAAGGAGAGTAAAGAAACCATCTGATTGCTTACTGTGGATTACAAACAAGTACAAACATGAAAACAAAAACCCAGTGCCGAATTAAGCCTACTGAATGAAACGATTAAAAAAAATCAATAACCTCAAAGTCCAGAAAACAATTTGAAAATTTTAGACTTAATTATTCAAATCCCTAAGCATCCAGATACGACATTTGAGCTCCTCCCAACTCTTTTCCTCAGCGATTTCCCGAGAAAGCAAACAGACGTTCTCCCAATTCGCAGTAAACCGAATTCATGCTGATAAGAGCTACCGAGAACTAAAGCTGGACGAAGAATTGGATGGATTAACCAAAGAGAACAAATTTATCCGATATTAAAACTGAGACAATCTGTGCGGAAAATTTGCATTGAACCCACGCTAATTAGAATTATTCGAAATCTGGTACTACCAATTGAAGATCGAATTCAACCATACGGTGTAAAAAAATACCCCCAAAAAAACCCCCCGATGGAAGAGCAAACCCTAAAGCCGTGACGACAGCCAAACCGCCAACGCGAGAGAAGCATCATCGGGTATATAACACGGAAGGGGATGGAAAACGAATTGAGAAGATTGAAGAATCGCAGAGGGTAGGTTTCGTCACACAACAACAGATCGAAAACGGGATAAACAAACCTTAGCTTCGTCAAACAGGGTAGAGGGCAAGCTCTGAGATTCTAGAGAGAGAAAGAGCGAGCGAAGCGAGAAGAGAGAGAGGTCCAAGGGGAGCAGCAAAAGAAAAGAGAAAGAGACCAAAGGCGGAGCCCAAAAACAGAAAATCTGTCAAAAATAAGTTTTCTGTTTCTTATTTTATTTATTAAATTCAAATCATTCATCTTCGTCCAAAAGGAAAATTTTAACAGATGTGTTCATATTTGCTATTTTGCTTGGTAGTTTAATAGTTCTTGTTAAACAAAGTTAATTTTTACCTGCATTAATGTTTTAAAAACTCTAACGTATTCGTTAATCTGATCAAAAATACTAGATGTCAAACTCAAATCGATAGATTTTTTTAGTAGTAGGAAACGATTAAACTGCAATTAACCCATAATATTAGTACAACATCCAATATTACTGACTTTTCTTCTATAATTTCCGGTACGATTGGACAATCTTTCCTCACTCCTCCGTAGGATGTATTCTTCCAATAGGAATTCGGATAAGTTACTATGGGCTTAATTACAAGTTTGGTCACTGGAATTGCTTAAAAAATTCATATTTGCCACTAGAATTACTTTATTCCATTCGTAGTCACTTAAATTAGTTCATCAGTTCAAGTTTGGTCACTCTCCGTTAGTCTCCGTTAACTTTGACTGACATGGCAGTCAACTCTGAAAGTTGACCATTAAATAAGTGACGTGGCAATTAAAAATTTAAAATAAATTAAAATTCAATATTTTAAAAGTGCCACCTCATTATCACAATAAAATAAAAAATACATAAAACAAAATATCATTATAATTTCAAATTATAATTCAACCTGATTTTTTCTTCTCGCTGCGGAATTGGAAATCGGCGGCAATTAGTTCAAGGAGAAGGGAAGAGCTCTGGATCATTAAAGCTCGCATTGTTCACTGCTCCTGCAGTCGCATTGTTCAATGCACTTGGATTTCTATCTTCTTCCCCATCCCGGATTCCCGGTCGGATAAAATGCCAACCATCTCTGCTTTGCCATTGCTTCTTCCTAAATACTCCAACAACATTTCCTGTCCCCGTAGCAAAGCAGAGATAGTAGGAAATTTAAACTCGAGGAAGAACATCATAACTTAAACCCAACATCTGGGAATCCTTATTATCAGCCATGGAAATTTAGCTATAAAGCTAGGAAGGAGTGCAAGAGGGAATCAGATTGTGTCCCTTTTAAGTCTAGGGAGGAATGATGATGGAACCCTGCTCTGCAACTCTGCTCTTTTTCGCCCGATGGGGCTCTGGAGAAGAAGACACAGAAGAAGATGCAGAGTCGTCTGAGCAATCGGAGCTGAAGCTCAAATCCATTATTACCCTATTGGGGCTTCCTGGAATCGAATCCAACTTCCTTCGCTTCTTCCATTGGCTTCCATTTTGGATTCCGAATTATACCAATTCCATAACCAGTAGACTGCAACCATTTTGCTTCTCCTGTCATCACAAGGATTCACGAAATCTGCTTTAGATTATGAGATCTAACTCATTGTAAAAGACTAGATTTTTGCTGCTGCTTTTTATGGACAAAATTGAAAATACCTCGCCGATTCCCAGAATGTCTAGCAACTGGTGTTGGTATTCGGCCCCAAGAGATGGCTCCACGTCATTGATGACATGAAGCATTGCATTCGCGGCCACTACAGATGGTGCATAACACAATGACCTAGAATTTGGAAGAAGAAAAAACGAACAAAAAGTCAAACAAAGAAGCATAGTTTCAGACGAGTTCACGGTAGGACTAAAAACTCTCGATTCGATTTTCCTTGCCTGAGATTACTGAGACGATTAACCGCTCGCATCGACTGACGAACTGCAAGCAGAGATAGTCCTTAAGTCCCAACCGCCTCGCCATGTAATCGAGGAACGACATTGGAGTTACAGGGTTCATCCGCCATTTAATGAGGTGGAAAATTAAAAATATTAAATTTTATTATTTTATTATTTTTTAATTGCCACGTCACACGTTTAATGGTCAACTCTCAGAGTTGACTGCCACGTCAGTCAAAGTTAACGGAGACTAACGGAGAGTGACCAAACTTGAACTGATGAACTAATTTAAGTGACTACGGATGGAATAAAGTAATTATAGTGGCAAATATGAAAATTTTAAGCAATTCCGGTGACCAAACTTGCAATTAAGCCGTTACTATGGAACAAAAAGAGGATGAAAATAAATAAAGAATGGTGGATGAAAATAAAATTTTCAATTAATTAATTAACCTAAATATGGAAGAGAAATAAAATGAGATGTTAGTGCTTTGAGGGGAAAGGTCGGTGGGGGCAAATGTGAGGCCGTGACCGTGAGGGGGAAAAAAGACGGAAAGGGAAGAACGGTGAACGGAGAGACGAAGCGTAGCGGAGGCTGTGTTTGGCTGGAGCTAATTTGTTTAGTCATCCGAGGGATTAGATTTGGTCTATTGGCCAAACAATCCGTTAAGGGTCCACTTCCATTCCGTTATTTACTGTTTAGGATTTTATATTATCATCGTACTGAACAGCGCTATTGACCACGGGAGGACAAGGCGAAGGGGCCGAGTGCGGACGGACGGGGTTGGGAAAAGGTATTAGAGGGCCTGGTTATGGGAAGTGGGCCGAGCTCTATAGCAATTTGTCGGCCTTTTAACGAAACCTTTCTCTAGTGAAGTCGACTTCCAGTTGGGTTGGGAAAGGTGGACTAGCTAACTGATTTGGGCCATCGTGTCTAAATAGAATACTGTGTTTGGAAAGGTGCAGTTTTTTTTTGGTCGGAGAACTGGGAAAGGTGCAGTTCAAATGCATCTACATTAAATTTAAAATTTGGATATTTATTAGTATTTTAAATTTGTTAGTTTTTTATTTTTTAATTTTTGGTCACATATCATAATTTTCATAAAATTACATTTAGTACCCTAATTATTTTTAACAATTTAGTACTTAAAATTTACCTCTTAAAAGATAAGGTCAG